AAGAGGCCGCGACCATCTATTATGGTGTACAAGGGACGGCAACACCGGCAATGAAGTATGAAAGGGGCAATCTTTTGGTTCCTGGTCATGAGTATAAAAATTTGACAACATATATGCGCTAGATGCATGAATATTACATGGCTCAAACAACAGAGACAGAGGACTTTGGTTTTGAGGTTATTATCCATTCGCCATATGTTTTTAATTATCCTGAAGAAGAGAAATTCGATGTCGAGTGGGAGTGCTTGTTCCAGCTATACCAGAAACACTCTTCTCGATACACAAATGTTGACGTTGTGAACTATGTAAGTACCCTACACGCACGATATTACAATTAACTACTCTCTCGGGACATAAATTGTTAACTTTTGAGCTCTTCCCATGATTTTATGTAGGTGTATAGCAAAATTTTGTATTCTAAAAAGCAAATGGGATAACATAGGCTTCTTGGACCTCTTACGAGTCAATGAGAAGACATGTCTAGGCCTCCATGGATGTGACATGGAAGACCTGAAATAGAGATTGATTGTTGTTTTCGACGAATTCAAGATGAAGAACAAAACCCACATACTTCTAGCCTACAACTGCGAGTATGTGTTCTCGGCTTTTAATTTTATGATTCTTTTTCGTTAAGATTATTCGATAATTAGGATTCTGTGATTGCAACCACCATTTGGTCTTTATTTGTGTTAATCTTGCCAAAAATCTGATCGAGGTGTGGGACTCAAAGAAAAAACATTTCATCATCTGGATGCACTGGTGGCAGTGCTGAATTAGTAAGCGATCCTAATAACATATTATTTTCTAATCACACATACCGCTTTCTAACGTTTCTCCTTTTAATGTTGCTCAGTGTCCGAAGAAGACATATCGGTGGGACGCAGGTCCCATTCAAGGTTGTCAAAATGGAGAGGAAGTACCTAAAACAGCCGGCGAGAAACAATGAATGCGGGTTTTATGTAATGTGGGCAATGCTTCACTACATCGGCGGGAAATCGGAAGAAGCCGATAAGTTGGTGTGTATAATCCCCATTTCATTTATGTCTGTTAACCATTCAACAAAATGATTTACTGATTTCTCTTTGGATATCATCTTTTTTGAATGACAGTGCAAGAAATATAACCACGAAAGGCTGTTAGACATGGAGATCGTCGCGCTGCAATCGGAGCTGGCAAAATTCATCTTAGCTGAGGTATTGGAAAAATATGGAGTATTTTTCATTGCACAATCCATGAAGTTCAAGGACCAGTATGGCCCAGAGCGGCTCGCCAGATTATTGTAAGAAGTCTGAGAAGCATTGCACAATCTGTGAAGTCGAAGAACATTTCTTTTTTATTTTGAGGGATCGAGATCTTGATAAGAACATTTGAACTATAACCGTAACATTTGTAATGTTTAATATTGATGGACCTGTCGTCTAAGTAGCATATATAGAGCGAAAATCCGATTCCACAAAAAAATTAAAATAAATTATAAAACAATAAAATGCGAATGTGACATCACTGCTGGTTAGCAGAAAACCGACAGTGTTGTCGTAAACATCACTGCCGGTTAGCAACAAACCGACAGTGATGGCACTACCAGCTGGAGCCACAAACCGGCAGTGATTTGTACGATAACACTGTCGGTTCAGACACAAACCGACAGTGTTGGTGGAAATGAACTCTACCGAGTGGTCTTATGAACCGGCAGTGTTGGTGGAACTGAACTCTGTCGGTTGTGTAAAGAACTGGAAGTGAAGTTGAAGAACACTGCCGGTTTGTAGGAACCGACAGTGATAGCTTACCCTCATCACTGCCGGTATGGTTGTGCCGGTTCAAAATCCAGCAGTGATGGGGTATTTTGAGCCGGCAGTGAAGTGCAATTCTGACATAGTGTTTGCAAGTGTATCATACACATGTTTTGAGTGTTTCAGCAGTTCGTACATATGTTGCAAGTGTATCATCTGGATGTTTCAAAAGTAGATCTAGTGTTACAGCTAGTGTTTCAGATGCATGTTTCATGTGTTTCATCTGTCTTCAGACATATGTTGCAAGTGTTGCATCCAAATATTTCAAAAGTAGATCGGGTGTTGCATCCCTGTCTTCGCTTTTCTATTGCCTCACCTTCGCCTCGGTGTCTCTTCCTTCTCCTCCTTAGCCCTGGGCATTCGGGTTACCTGAATTTTTCGGGTCGTGTAATTCGAGTAATACGAAATTCGGGTAATAGAAAATGCTACCTGATTTTAGCCTCGAAATATCAGTACCCGCAATTTCTGGTACCCATAATTTCGGGTTTAGGTTTGGATATTCCTGATCTACCTGAAATTCACAGAAATAAAAAACCAGCAAATCTATACATTGCTATCCAACAGCTTTCAAGTCGATCTATCGCTCAGGGATTTGGGGGAGGTGCTCCGCTTGGGTCCGTCCATGGTCGAGCGCCGTGCGTGTGGACATGGGTACTCCGCTCGGTCATGTGAGTTGCAGAGTTGGCTGGTCGGCCGTCGGCGTGTGAGGGCGGTGCTGGTGAACCTTGCTCCCATAATGGGGCGGCAGCGTCGGGAGCAAGAGGAAATCGAAGCCCTCATTACGTCAGGGTCAAGGAGATGGCTAGCGGGCCAGGTAGGGACGTGTAGATTTTTTAATATAAGGTGCTTGGTGGGCTAGGCTATGTCCATGAAGGTTGAGAGTGGGCTACAGGCCATAGTGCAAATTGGGTATATTGATTAGTTCGGGTACCGGGAAACATTACTCGAACTATCCAAAATAATTTTGGGTTTTCAGAGTTGCTATCCGAAGTTGTGATCGGGTAATTCGGGTTCGGGTACTTTGGGTATGGGTTCGAGTATTGGGTAACGGGTATTTTGCCCGGGCTTACTCCTCCTGGCACCACCTGGGCATCCGTGACCCCCTCCCCCTCTTTTGAATGCTGGTGTAGCCACCTACTGTAGTCACCTGCTGTAGTTTGCTGGCCATGTGCATGCGCGTGAGAAGCGGCGAGGCGCGAGCGGGGACTTCCCACGTGCAGTCGGTAGGGTCGAGCGGTGCAGCCCCATGTAGGTGGGTGTGGGATGCAGGTGCACCAAGGAGACAGAGTGCAGGAGGGAGCATCCAGACGCGGGCGTCCGTCCGGACGTCCGGGCGCTAGCACTACCGAGAAACAAAACTTGTTAATGAATCCAAGTACTATTTTTTCTAAACGAATCGGATAGGAGAGTTGTCGACATCTATATCTCTATCTCTTATAGTCCTAATAAACCTCACTAGCTATTTATCTCAACATGCAAGCTGTCCTACTAGACAATATACTATCACATACAATTAAAACCCCTAGCACATGCAATTTTAATGTCCACGTCACCCATAAGCCATTGTCGACGTCATGACGCCACACAATCCACTAATCCACAATTCCCACAGCAACACGCGGGGTATGCTTGTAGTAACCTATACAAATGGAACCCACTAACACTACCAGGCTGTGGAGAATTCCTGTCGGCTCTAAAAATTCCTGTCGGTTTTTAAAAAATCGACGAGAATAAGGATAATTCCTGTCGGTTTCAAAAAAACCGACAGGAAACACTTAGCGGATTCATGTCGGCTTTCAAAAACCGTCAGGAAACCAAATAGTACTCCTGACGATTTACTTGAACCAAGAGGAATTTAGTTCCTGTCGGCAACAGGCCGACAGAAGACCTCGGTCCCAAAAAAACACCTCGTCATTCTTGTTCGCGCGCGTGAGATGCCTTGGCGCGAAGAAATCCCGAGCTATTTTTTACTGGGCCCATCGACGAATTGGAATAGTATATAAATAAACCCCAAAACCCTAAGCCCACTTGCCTACCACCGCCCATGTCTGCATCCAACACTATCACCTTTGGCTTCAATGCGGGCTCACCGCACTCGACGCCACCGCCCCTTCACCTGCATCCGCCACGCCCCCCACCACCTACGCTCACGGACTCACCTAGATCCGCTGCCACCGCCCTTCCCCTCCTCTCCATCTGCCGCCACCCCTTCCCCTGCATCCGCCGTGCCCACCCCATCCCCCCTCCGTTTATGGACTCACCTAGATCCACCGCCGCCACCCTTCCCCTTCTCTCCATCCATCGCTGCCCTCCCCCTCCTCTCCATCCGCCACTGCCCCTCCCCTCCTCGCCACCCCCTCGGTCTTTACCAGACGCCGGCACCTCCCAACAGCAAGCCGGAGGCCACAAGAGCAAATCCACTCACAACGTCGTTCCCCTCACGCAGCAAGCCGGAGGCCACAAGAAGAGAGCAGATCCGCTGCTGGTTTAAGGAGGAGCTGGAGGTTTGCTGCCACAAGGTGAGAAGAAGATCCTGCTGCAAGAGGTCAAGGGAAGAGCAAGAAAGGCAAAGGAAGGAGTTTCCTTGAACCCTAAGAGGTGATTATACATCCCCTTGCATTTTTCTTCATTTTACCAAAGCATTCATGTGCATTGTGAAATATATGTTTCTGTACCCTGTTGTATATGGTTAGGAAAATCTAACTATATGTCTGCAATATATGTTCACTGGTGTAGGAATGAATCTGTTAGCAGTAAATGGCACAACCGCAATTAGTGTGAGAACACATGAATTTTGTTCTGGTTCTCCACTGTCTTTTTGCACATTATAAAGACAGTCAAGCTAAGCTAGTTGATTAGTTAGTCAATATAAATATGATATATAGATTAGAACTTAGCCTTATTAGAAGCATGCAGAAGCAAATATATTTTGTGGCCTATATGAAACTATACTTATATATATATGCATTAGGAAATAGTTGTATTGGATCACTAATTAGTGCATATTTTAGTAGCATGTTTTAGAGACATTCTTGTGATATTGATAGAACCTTAAGTCTGAAAATGAACCTGAGATATACTGCTGATTTTTTCTAAGCATGGTTGTACCTCAAATATATATCATTGCTGATTTTTTAATATTGTGGCTGTGGGACTACAACTTGTGATTGTAGGCAATTTGAGTTTGTATGTTACTCACCTGGCAAGGACATGGGGATTGCTAGTCAAGTCATAGCACTGCTCAAGCATGAATACCCTTCTATGATTGAAGAGAGTCGTTCAAACAAGTATTTTGCAAAGAAATGGGCTCACCATGATATTGTCGAAGATGGAGAAGGGATGACTGCAGCTGATCGTTTCAAAGAAGAATTCTCGGTAACTAAATATGTGCAAAATGCTATTTTTTCTCAATTTCCAAATATGATTTGGCTATTACTAATGTTAGATTAGATTAGATTTGTCTAAATATGAAAGATGGGATGCCTCTATTTTATAATGCAGAGTATCTACTCTATGGAAGATGGATTAAGACCACATGCAGAATATGTTCTTGATAGGCTTGAAGCTAAACAGTGCAATAATATGATGTATGAGCTTTGTGTGGATGCTGTGAAGGCATACTATGACACAATCCTGAAGCAAAGAATAAAGGATAAAGAGGCTTGCAAGAAATTACTTCGTCAAGCACAGTATACAAGGGTTAAGCCAGATTGGATTTCTGAGGGGGCATGGCGCGCCATTTGTGCTTAGTGGTGCTCACTAGAATATTTAAAGAAACACCGCCTTGCTCAAGGGTCACGGGACCAGCTAGATTTTGCTCAAAATAGGGGTGGGTCTCGACCTTATGGTCAAACCAAGCAATATTTGGTAAGTTCTTGTGCTGAGCTGATTTCTGCATGTTGATGTATGTTGGCGATGCTTAACTCATATTTTTACTGCCAATATTTTAAACAAAATAAACAAACATGAGAACTAAAACTTAGAAATAGGGTCTTTAATTAACATTCTCCATAAGTTTTGGATATGTATATGTTTTGCAGGGCAACACAAGAAAACACACTAAATGCGCAATCAAGAAGGCGCATTCAAGCAAAACACAAAGCAAAGCCCTTCCAACTCCATATCTGGGCAGAACACCAGCGTGGCAGGGGTCCAGGCCCAGCCAGCAACCCACTAGAGCAAGGCTGTGGTGGTTGGGCGGGTGCGGGCACACCACCCCCAGCTCCGCCTGGCCCCACATTTCTCTAGCGATACAATTAATGCTCCAGGAGGCGGTTGCATGCGGTGTTTCCTAAAATACATAAGCAAACCAACCATCCTCAAGCTATATAAGAAGACCCCCTCCTCATATTTCAATCATCATACACTTGATGAGAGGAAGAAGAACAAGCATCACTTCTACATTAGCTTATAGCTAGATTAGTATAGGGAGTGAGAGAGGGAAAAGTCGGAGGAATAGCAGAAGAATCGGCTACCTCTACTTCTTGTATTAGGCAACTTGTACACGTAGTGGAAGGAGTGTCGGGGCTGTCAGCTCCCTCTACACTTGTACTTCTATGAACCAAGTACTACTTGGAGTATAAGGTTCGTGTTTACCTACGGTAGTGAGTCTCTACTTGAGTTAGCTTTGTTCACCCTATACTTGCGGGTTCATCGTTTATCCTTGTGATGGATACTCTAGTAGAGGACTCCTAATAAAGATAGAAGTTCCTGGCCAATGCTAGAGTAGTAGAGGTTAGCGTAGACGTGGTGTCTAAGCTACATGTTACCTTCATTTGCCTCATATCCTCCGGTTGAGGGGTAGACGGCAGGTGGTGACAGCCATGTCCGTCCTTTGTAATCTCCCATGTTCGGATACGACATAGAGCTACATGCCGGCCTCGCCTAGCAGACCAGGTGTGATCCGGTGCCCGAAGCAAGTATCTAGTGGCATAAGCTCATTTCACGTAGATCCTCTATCCCTAGGAAAACCTTACTACCCAAGTTATGCTTATTCTTATCTTCTAGGGGGAACTAGCTAAGAGATCTTCAACACTACCGTTCCTTTGGGACAATATGATACCCGGAACACTTACGGGTGAAGTGCTTCAACGATGTATCCGTGTGTTTGCGGATTCCTTCTGCTTACGCTAAGAAACAGCAACAAGCATTTTAGAAATGCTTGTTGGCATTTCTTAGTGCAATCACCAAGTGTGGAGGTCTAAAGTCCATCCTCGGCAACGGCGCCAGAAATGCCTATTGGTATTTCTTAGCACCATCACTAAGATTGAGTCAACCTTAGCGACGCTGCCAAGAAACACCAACAACGATACTTCTTAATAATTACAGAAAATATCCGCAAGCGCACGGATCTATCATTGCAGCATTTCACCCGGAAGTATTTAGGGTATCGTTATTTATATTTTTCCAAAGGAGGGCAAGGTATCAAGAGTCTAGCATGAGCATGAACAAGATTACATACTTGCATAGTGGACCATAGTTCATGATAGGGTTAAAACGGTAATTTAAGGATAGTGGACAAACATCTGAGCCAACCTCAAGGATAAAAAGAAATAAAGAATAAAAGAATGTTCCTATGTGGAGCCGGCATGTTCTAATATAGTCGTGCAAAGAACAGTTAATGATCATACAGGCTATATGACTAAAGTTAAAATTAAGTTCAAGATGAACGAGGAGATCTCTGAGCACTGGTCTTCCAGCAAGCTAGGGAGACTTTAAGACTCCAACACAGTACCCGAACGTGGGGGATTACAAAGGACGGACAGGGCTATCACCACCTACCGCCTACCCCTCATCCGTGGGGCACCATCATATCCGAAGGTTCCCATGTACCCGAGCACCACGCCCGTGTATAAGGAAACTACCCATATCCCCCTGGGATTCCGACTCTATGGATCGACAAGCATAGGACATGGGCAAACCCGAAGGAACAACAAACCGCCACCTCAACCTAGCTCTACTTCTACTCATACAAGTCATATGAATGGTAAAGCATAAAGTGGAATATGTTAAGATCATAACACACAAACTATATGCTAGTTCATATATCATGATTATAACAAGACAACTATACTCTAGTTCATATGCACTACTATATTGAAGATATGAGGGCATGACTTTGGAAGAAATCTTCATAGTATTCATACCAAGATGTATCTCTTCTTCCAAGGAGCCAAGCCCTCCTTGATAGCTTTGCTAGCTCCAAACTACTACTAAAAGCTAAAGAGTACAAGTAGAGAGAGGTGAGGTGAGTAGCTCCAAATGGTGTGTCTTTGAGAATGAGCTCCTCCTCTTCTTATATAGTGAAGCATGGTCAGTTTGGCATAGGAAAATTAGGAAATCGGCCAAAACCACCTTAGCATGGTGGCATGCAACCGCCATAGGAAGGTGGGCTCGGGCCACATCGCCTGGGGTACGAGCACACCCGGGGTGCGGCCGTACCCTGGCTGGCTCGCTTATCCACCGCCTTTGCTAAGTGGGCTGGTGGCTAGGCCTGGGCCCCTCCCACGGTGGTGATCGGCCCAAGTTTGGCATGTAGGTGGGTTTTTCCATTTATTCTCTTCACGTATTTCTGCTTTACGCTTTCTGTTTTGCACTTTTTGCTTGGTTTTCCTCTTGTATTCAAATATTTGTCCTGCAAAACATTTTTCTCCAATACAAGTGGAACTAGGTCAATAGTAAAGGCATATGTGTATGTTTATTTCTCCTATTTTGGACTTAAGTTGGTGGTTGGAATTTGTCGATAGTGACCGCCAATAAATCCCCCAAGCTAACCTTTGCTCGTCCCGAGCAAATAGCTAAGTTCTTGGTTGTTGATCAGGAGTTGCTACTATGCCGATACAATTCACAAGTGCCATGCCTATAACACAGTATTCTTCCGTAATTTAAATAAGTTAGCATTTTTATCCACCCTTTTCCTTGATCCCTGTGGGGCGTATAGCTTTTCCAAGTTCTTGGGCTGTTGCAAGATAGAACGGTTATAACAGAATCACCAATCATTCATTCTTTGATCAACCATCTATCCGGAGGTTTTATGAGTTTTGTGAAATAAATGTAAGTTCCTCAAATGATTCTCTCGATCGCTCAATGTATATGAAATCTCACCAATGCATTTCGTATTTTACCTTCTTTTTCATATCCTACCACAAATGGCTTTTGAGTGGAGTTTTGGGTAGGTATGAAAGTGGGGCATACTTGCATCACATATTTTGCTAAGTCAAAAAACCGGACCTCAAGGAGATGCAAGTCATACACTTTGATCAGGACGTGCAAGTGTGTGGAATTTTTATAAAGTTCTAATTTTAAAAAAAAATTGTACTCCTTTGGATCATGACTTTCTCTTTTTGGATGAATGCCTTTTATTTGAAAGTATGGGCTATCTTTATTTATTTCTTCTCTTTTTCTTTACTTTTCTTCATGCTCTTTGGTGAAACTTTTTAGAGTAAGAGAGACTCATGATAAATGAATGGATTATTATTTTGGTGGATGGAAAAAACATGTTTTTGTGGAACTCTCAGTGTAAGAGTCAGCATTTTATTTGTGGGTGTACGTGTGTCTTGATCATGGGTGCATGACGAGAATCTCAACAAGGGTCACAACAATTAGACAAAGCTTAATGTAATAACAAGTAGCAGATGACTAAGGTTTGAATTTGAATATTGTCATATGGCCTTGGTAGGTATTCATAATCATTGAGGAACTTTAGATTTTAGCATTTTTGAAAGTAAAATCTCTAGATGTAAGTTTCTCATAGAACAAAGTCATAGTAAATTCTATTTGTACCATATCATAGCTCGCAACAACTTAGAAAAGGAGCATGCATTTGCAACCCACAAGTTTTCAAGTTTTAGGATGAGACATTTTTAGCCAACAAACTTAAATCTTGGGGAATACTAAGTTACAACCTAGGCATAGATGAATTATAGACAGAGCAACTATTCATCATTTCAACATAGAAGAAACTAAACATTCCTAAAACACATATGAGAGTGGAATTCATATTTTTGGTATTTTTATCATATTTTAGTTTTTTTTGGTATTTTCAATTTTTTAGATTTTTTTTATGTGCCATGAAAAATAAATGCGGTTTTTTTTAAAAAAGATACAAGGGTACCTCTGCGGGGGTCCTCCCCCAAGCTAGCTCCAGGCCTATGGTCCGGGATTGCTTGGTGACGGCTCCGAGGTAAGTTATTTTTGTTTTATTACATATATTTTTATATGGTTTTAACAAGTTTATTCCACCCATGTCTATACTCAGCAGTTTTAGTTCAATGATCAAACTTGTTTTTAATTTGATCAAGGTAGGCTATACAACCTAAGCACCATGCTTAATTTGAAAAGCCTATGGAAGTATGATCGCTAAAAATCATACCTCAAATCATAACATGTTTGTAAAGATCATGAGAGGATAAACAAGATTTATTCAAGTGTAGATATATGAAAGGTGAACTAATTGTTTTTATTTTAGCATAATTTAAAGCATAGTCTATAGTTTTATTATCTAATATTTCAAAGCAAAGTAACTTGTTTATTAAATCATGAATATAAAGGATAACTACCGATTTACCGTCGGCAAGGGCTCACCATTTTAAGTCCAATGAGCAGGACTCTTCTCCTTTCATTTCTTGCTTGATGATGGGACATCCATGCCCGGAGGAGTAGGCGCGGATGATTGCACCTTCTTTGGTCTCCACACCATTTTGTTTGATTTTGGTGGTGTGGTGGTGGACTTTGGAGCTCCTTCTTTTTGTTTCCACACCTTTTCCTTCTTTGGTGGTTCTTCTTTTTGTTTTAGGTTGTTCTTTTCCTGCTCCGACCTCTTTTTGTTTTCTTTATTTTTCTTGACAAGGTTGTCCACCAAATGAGGCTGTATCTCAACCTCCTCTATGCCTTGTGGGTTCAGCCCATACTTGATTCTTATCATGGAGCATTGCTCCTGCCTAGGTCGAAAGTTGAACTTCTCTTCCTTGCCATTGATGTTGAAGCAGATTTCTCTAGCTCCAACATCAATTTGTGCTCCTGACGGTGATGAGGAAAGGTCGCCCAAGGATGAGGGGTGATTCCTCCGTTGTTTCCATATCTAGCACCATGAAGTCAACAAGGACGAAGTAACCCCGGATTTTCACTAGGATATCTTCGGCGATCCCTATCGGGTAACGGACCGTGGAGTCGGCCAGCTGGAGCATCATTAGTGTCGGTGCAAGGTGGGTGAAGTTCAACTTATCGAAGAAGTTCAACTTATCGAAGACGCTTGTCTTGGGCGCATAACATGCTTACGCTTGCCAATCCTTCTCGATAGTGGGCACCCGTGAGTATAGCTCGGACTACACTCACTACACTATCATTAGCATGACGACCTCCGTGGATGGCAAAGGTCATTTGTTGTTGATGATGTCTTTGATATATTTTGCGAAGGAAGGTACATGTTAGACATCCATTAGGGGGACTCTCACTTGTGTCTTTTCTATTATCTCCACAAAATGAGCGAATTGCTCATCCATGGCTTGCTTTTTTTCTTGTGGGAAACGACAAGTAGCTTGTATCAACAAAGTCTTGTGGTGTCATTTCCTCTTGTTGCCCTTGTGCTTTTTCTAGCTTATTGTTAGGATTTGGTGGATCATGAGTGGACTTACCACCCCTCGTGGTCACCACATTGACTTTTTCAAAGGAATTCTCGGGTTGCCCCAGATCTTCCCTTCGTTATTAATAGGAATGGCGGCAGCAATTTGAGCTAACTTTGTTTCTATCATTTTATTAAAGCTCAATTGATTTGGAACAGAGAAAGATAAACCTTCTATTTTAAAGTTAGTATTTTCTAGCATTTTGTCATTATAAGTTAACTTTTTAGTAAGGTTCTCGTTTATTTTTGCTTGATCTAGCACTAGGTCTTTTAAGGAAGGTTGATTCGAATTGAAATTTAAATTGAAGTTTGAATTACCTCCTTGCAGGCGGATTGATTATTCCACCCGTTATTGTTACCTTGTCGGAACCCGTTGTTGATATATGCGGCGTCTTCATGGGTTTTGGGGTAGTTGTTCCCCGAATGTCTGACTTCACCATAGACTTCGCAAGTCATTTGTGAGTCCGTGGCTTGAACGGTGGCCTTCATAGCTTCTTTCTCGTGGGCCCTCTCATTCAGTCTTGATAGTAACAAATCTATTTTTGTGGTAAGCATATCCGTCTTCTTCACGATATGCATGCCTTTTTGTTGTTTTCGTTCCTTCCCCAAGCTTTGATTGGCCGCCATCTTCTTGATAAGAGTTGTGGCATTGTTGATGGTGAGGGAGAGAAACTCTCCTCCAGCAGCGGCATCTATGTGCCCCTTTGACATGGGCATAAGCCCTTCATAGAAGTTCGGGAGCATGAGCCAGTTTTCCATTCCATAGTGCGGGCTAGGCTGGATGTAATCCTGAAGCCTCTCCCATGCCTCGAGGATGGATTCCAGTGAAGTCTGATGGAAGTTTGAAATTTTCCCCAGGGGCATTGGTTTTGCCCATGGGGAAAAATTCACGACAAATGCGTCATGGAACATTTGTCCCATGTGTTGACAACTTTCTTCTCTTTATAGAACCACTACATTTGCCTTCCCCACGAGGGAGAAGGGAAATAGACGAAGCCTGATGATATCTTGTGTGATGCCTTTGATGACAATGGTGTCGCATAGCTCCAAGAAGTGTTGCAGGTGCGCGTTCGCGTTCTCGCTTGGCAAACCACAGAATTGGTTTGCCTGTACCATCGTAATGAGGCCAGTGCGTAGCTCAAAGTTTCTGGTATCCGTATTGACAGCGGGCCCAACGGGCACGTTGGCAACAGCGGGGGTGGAGTAGTCGTGGAGTGACTTAGCCAAAGCGGTTGCTGCGGATGGTATGGGGGTGACTAGTTCAACTACCGGCGGACTAGCAGAAGAAGAAGTGGTATGAGACCGGCTCTTCCTTAGGAGTGCCTCTAGATTATCGGTGTAATTGTTCAGTAGATCAAAACCACTCATACACTATCCTGTTTTCATCCATAGCAGGAAGAAAACAAGCAGAATTAGCCTACATAAACTATGGCTACCATTACATGCATGTGCTCATGATCATGTCCTACTAGATTCTTTTCACCTATGCCCTCCCCGACAACGGTGCTAGAAATGCTTGTTGGCATTTCTTAGCGCAATCACCAAGTGTGGAGGTTTTAAGTCCATCCTCGGCAATGGCGCCAGAAATGCCTGTTGGTATTTTTTAGCACCATAACTAAGATTGAGTCAACCTTAGCGACGCTACCAAGAAACACCAACTATGATAGTTCTTAACGATTACAGAAAATATCCGCAAACGCACGGATCTATCATTGTAGCATTTCACCCGGAAGTATTTAGGGTATCGTTATTTATATTTTCCCAAAGGAGGGCAAGGTATCAAGAGTCTAGCATGAGCATGAACAAGATTACATACTTGCATAGTGGACCATAGATCATGACATGGGTAAAAATAGTAATGTAAGGATAATGGACACACATCTGAGCCAACCTCAAGGATAAAAGGAAATAAAGAATAAAAGAATGTTACTATGTGGAGCCGGCATGTTTTAATATAGCCGTGCAAAGAATAGTTAATGATCATACAAGTTATATGACTAGAGTTAGAACTAAGTTTAAGATGAACGGGGAGATCTCCGAGCACTGGTCTGCTAGCAAGCTAGGGAGACTTTAAGACTCCTACACAGTACCCGAACATGGGGGATTACAAAGGACGAGACAGGGCTATCACCACCTACCGCCTACCCCTCATCCGTGGGGCACCATCATATCCGAATGTTCCCGTGTACCCAAGCACCACGGCCATGTACAAGGAAACTACCCATACCCCCCCCCCCCCGCGCGACTCTGACCCTATGGATCGTCAAGCATAGGACATAGGCAAACCCCAAGGAATGATGAACCGCCACCTCAACCTCACTCTACTTCTACTCATTCAAGTCATATGAATGGTTAAGCATAAAGTTGAATATGTTAAGATCATAACACACAAACTATATTCTAGTTCATATATAATGATTATAACAAGACAACTATACTCTAGTTCATATGCACTACTATATTGAAGATATGGGCGCATGACTTTGTAAGAAATCTTCATAGTATTCATACCAAGATGTATCTCTTCTTCCAAGGAGCCAAGCCCTCCTTGATAGCTTTGCTAGCTCCAAACTACTACTAAAAGCTAAAGAGTACAAGTAGAGAGGTGAGATGAGTAGCTCCAAATGGTGTGTCTTTGAGAATGAGCTCCTCCTCTTGTTATATAGTGAAGCATGGTTGGTTTGGCATAGGAAAATTAGGAAGTCGGCTAAAACCGCCTTAGCATGGTGGCATGCAACCACCATAGGAAGATGGGCCCGGGCCACGCCGCTTGGGGTGCGGGCACACCCGAGGTGTGGTCGCACCCTGGCCGTCTTGCTTGGCCACCGCCTTTGCCAGGTGGGCTGGTGGCGGGGCATGGGCCCCTCCCACGGTGGTGCTCGGCCCAAGTTTGGCATGTAGGTGGGCTTTTCCATTTATTCTCTTCGCGCATTTCTACTTTACGCTTTCTGTTTTGCGCTTTTGCTTGGTTTTCCAATTGTATTCAAATATTTGTCTTGCAAAACATTTTTGTCCAATACAAGTGAAACTAGGTCAATATTAAAGGCATATGTGTCAAAAGTATGTTTATTTCTCCTGTTTTGGACTTAAGTTGGCGGTTGGAATTTGTCGATAGTGACCGCCCCTATACTAATCTAGCTATAAGCTAATCTAGAAGTGATGCTTGTTCTTCTTCCTCTCTTCAAGTGTATGATGATTGAAATATGAGGAGGGGTGAGAGGGAAAAGTTAGAGGAATAGTGGAAGAATCGGCTACCTCTACTTCTTGTACTAGGCAACTTGTACACGTAGTGGAAGGAGTGCCGGGGCTGTCGGCTCCCTCTACACTTGTACCTCTACGAACCAAGTACTACTTGGAGTATAAGGTTCGTGTTTACCTATGGTAGTGAGTCTCTACTTGAGTTAGCTTTGTTCACCTTATACTTGCGGGTTCGTCGTTGGTCCTTGTGATGGATACTCTAGTAGAGGACTCGGATAAAGACGGAAGTTCCTGGCCAACGCTAGAGTAGTAACGGTTAGCGTAGACGTGGTGTCTAAGCTATACATTACCTTTGTTTGCCTCGTATCCTCCGATTGAGGGGTCAGACAGTAGGTGGTGACAGCCCTGTCTGTCCTTCGAATTCCCCACGTTCGAATATGGCATAGAGCTACAGGTCGGCCTCACCTGGCAGACCAGGTGTGATCTGATGCCCGAAGCAAGTATCTAGTGGCATAATAAGCTCATTTCACGTAGATCCTCTATCCCTAGGAAAACCTTACTACCCAAGTTATCCTTATTCTTATCTTCTATGGGGAACTAGCTAAGAGATCATCAACACTACCGTTCCTTTGGGAAAATACGATATCCTGAATACTTTCGGGTGAAGTGTTACAACGGTGTATCCGTGCGCTTGCAGATTGCTTCTGCTTACGCTAAGAAACACCAACAATGTATCGCTGCTGTGTTATACAATTTTATAATTGGATCTTTGTATTGTAGGCAAAGACTTATGGCCCAGAAGCTGGCATTGCCATGAATACTTTTTGCTCCATGAAGTGGGGTGTCAAAAATTGTGATAGGAATGGAAAGAGTTGTCCAATTTCAAGCCAAAAGGCCCAACAATGTGTTGTAAGTTCTTCAAATATTTTTAAGTATCAAATGTCCTGCACCATGACATGAATGGTAAATTAATTGCCTTTTTCATCAGGATGATTACTTGGTGACTCTTGAGGCCGAGCACCCAGATGATTTTGAGCAGCGCAAGAGTGAAGCACAGCTTGATCCTATTGTGTTGTACAAAAGTAGTGGGCGTGGCTTAGCTGATGGCCGTGTGCCAATAGCAAATGGTGCTATAAGGAAAAGTCACATGAAAGGAATTGCTAGGAGGGCAGATACAACAAGTCAAGCCAATTCAAGGTCTTACCAATATCTTGTGAGAAGGAATGCACAATTGGAGCAGAACTCTAAAAGAGACTCTCACATTGGACTTATCCTAAGCAAACATATGAAGGTATTTTATTGAATTTGACATATATTGTATGGACTTAATCACTTGTTTGAAAATGTTATCTAATCATCATGTGTTTTAGTTTCTTTATGACAAGATGAACATGGAAGTACCAGCAGAAATTGGAGACATTTCGTAGGCAGCCAATGCAAATGCTTCTGTGCCACCAACTGAGCAGGTCCACACCTTACCATGCATTTGTTCGATATTCTTTTGTATACATGATGCAAATGTGACCTTACCAATCATAGTACTCAACTATTTATAAAGACTAAAATCAGGAACACTAAAGTAGTATTGTTGTTTGCTGCTAATGAGTTTCCAGCTAGCAGTTGTATGTCTTCGTGTGGTGTGATCTGCTAGTCTGCTACATCTTGTTACATCCATTAACTCTTCGCAATTATATGAATATTGAAAATTACTTTTGATGGATATATTTATTGCATACTAAAATTTACATGTGACGAAGCTATACTTTAGAACCCAATTGAGGAGCATAAGTCATGATTTACCTTCAAATTGTGCTAAATGCTTATTTAAGCTTTTCTCTCCCAGTCTCCTCCCTTCAATTATTTTGTCACTTCCGGCTGGACCCTTGTCATTATCATCTCCAGCTTCCAAATCGAAACCATTCCTCCGTCTCTCTGTTCTTGCTAGCACAGCAGCACTCTCTGTTCTTCCTAGCTGTGCCTAGCACTGCACACAGCGATGCTCTTGAGTTCAAGATTAGATTCACAAGGAGCAGAACCAAAGTAGCAGCTAATTCTCTCTCCCCCAAATCAACAAAGCAGCAATTTAACCAACCGCAGCAGCGAGCTTCTTCCCCTTTTCCATGCAGGATGCCATTTTTCCCTCCCTTTTCATCCACTGGGGGAACAATAGCAGATCCATTTCGCTTCTCCACAGAGCAGATCGCTCGTAGCTGCTTCCTCTTCGTCCAAATCAGCAAGCAACGAGCACTCCTCCCCCATGACTCTCCCTGTTTTCCTCGCAAGAGCAGAGCAGCAGCAGCATCTTCAAGGCCAAGCTGAAGTCTCGCCTATCTGTTAGCCCGCTTTTGGTGCATGAATCATATATAGAGATTTGCAGCAAATGAGTTTCTAGCTAGCTCTTGTATACATGATGCAAATGTGTCTATTTGGTGCATGCAATTTTCTTATTTGAGCAGATTTGCGGTCTTATAATTGTTCAAATAGATAGCCAAATTATTTTAGGCTATTTAAATTCCATCTCCTTAAGGCCTTGAGTTGTGATGTGCTGTCTTTAGTGTTAGAATCACTCGCCATTGTAAGTTCATCTTCTTGCAGGGTACTGAGTCATCCCATGCTGGGAATGTCATGTCTGGTTGTCACGAGACCAATGGCATCGAAGACAATGAAGGCAACACTAACATGGAATGAGATGAAGGGTTAACAGTGACACTTGACTGTAGCTTTTGTGAAGCTTTTGTGCAGTGACTTGACTGTAGCTTTTGTGAAGCTTTTGTGCAGTAACTTGACTGTTGCTTTGAACTCTATATGTAGCTTTGAACTCTATGGATGTTGGAGCTGGACTTCTTGTGTAGTTGGCATGCAGCTTTGAACTCTATGCTTGTGTTTAGTTCCCAAAAAAATTCATAAAAAGTGCTACAGTAGCCATCACATCGAATCTTACGATACGTGCATAGAGCATTAAATGTAGACGAAAAAAAACTAATTGCACGGTTTGGTTGAAAATCGCGAGACGAACGTTTTGAGCCTAATTAGTCCATGATTGAACACTAATTGCCAAATAAAAACAAAAGTGCTACGGTAGCCAAATTCCCAAATTTCGCGAACTAAACACAGCTGGACTTGTTGTTTAGTTGAATCAACAAGTATGAATCTAAAATTGTGAACAGGTCTGCAATGTACTGTATTTGTTGAACTTGTGAACAAGTCTGCAATGAAATATACTATTAAATTCATCTATGTAATGACTAATGTTGTAAGTCTACAATACAATGGGCTATTAATTTATCTCTGTAATGTCTAATGCATGTGTAGAAACTGAGTAGCTAATTCCTGACATTTTTTGCCTGACGGTTTGGTGATAGGAAATAAAAATGAAATTATGTTGGTTGCAGTTTCCAGACGGTTTCCCGACAGGAATGGACACTAAATCGCTGTCGACGACCATTGTTTCTTTACGGCTGCGCGACAGGAGTTAAATGTAAATTCCTGTCGGTTTGCAATTCCTGTCGGGTGAACTGACAGCAAAAACCATTGACTGGTCAACTCAGAACCGTTAGAAATATACCGACAGGAATACATTCCTGACGGCCAACCGTCAGGATTAATGGTTTTTTCCTGTCGAGATGTTCTTGTCGGCTGGCCGATGGGAAAATTATTCCTGGCGGTATTTGACTAATTCCTGACGGTTCTCAGCCGCCAGGAATTCTCCTCAGTCAGGTAGTGTTAGTGTCACTGATGCTATTTCTCTCTTCTCTGGTGAAGCCACGTCATCAGTATTATTTCAGCCATTAGATCGACTCTATTTCTTGTGATCTCACCGTCCAAACCTTTTGTCTTTACTAGCACTGCTCCTCTCTGAATTAACTCATCCATCCCCTACAAACTTCCAAACTCCAGCGCTGGGTGCCAGTTTGAAACTGCCCTCCGCAGCTCCACTACCTCGCTGTCTGCCTCACCATGTAATTCACTGGCCTCAGACTCACGGCCAAGCAACTAGTGTCTGCTCATCTCCCAAGCTAATAATCATCAAAGTCCTTTCTCCTTCCGATCCCACACTTGAAACGTACCAATATTGCTCTCCTATATATGTTGCTTCTCGGCTAGCGGTTCTTCCTCCAGCACCATAGTTGCCACGAACGTCACCACGCAAGCATTCTCCAAATCACGCATCAGACCAGCAGGTACTATTTGTACTAAACACCAGTTGAATGGAGGATTTTTAATTCCTTTCGATTACTTTTTTCAGGCAATTGTATTTTTCTTTCGATACGAGGTTTCACCCCATTTCCATTGAAGAAACAAAGGAAATACATCCCAGGCAATTGGATTTAATCTCACGTTGATGGTTTTGATAGATTATTCTATTTCTATATCTAGCTGTGGTGTTGTCTTGTTAGATTCTTGAACAAATGCAGGTGAGCTGCGGCGGTGGCATCCCTGGTGCGCAATGGATGCAGCACCACCAACGAATGCCGGGAGTGTTGTGTTTGATGACCAGCAACTCGTCACGGGGTTATCCGGGATGATGCTTGGTGGGCTTCGACGTACGCTGAACTCGACGGATAACACAAAGAGATGACAATTTATACTGGTTCAGGCCGTGATGCGTGTAATACCTTGGTCCATCAGGGGGTTTGATCATCCAAGGTCCATTGAACCACTAACTGTATTATTAGCGCCAACAAATTTTCTCATCTGCCTATAGTGAACAGCGGATTCGCCTCGGTCCTTCTCATCTTCCTATAGCGAACAACTGATTCACTTCGGTCCCCATGTGCCCCGACTTGCTAACAACTCTAATTATATCACCATGGGTGGGACATCTTGGTGTAATATGTTGTCGGTTGGCAGCACTTCATTCGACGTCAAACCAAGGCATAGTAGAGATTTCAGTTTTTCCATTTTTAATCTCTCACAACTAATAAAAAGAGTAAAAGGTGGACAAGCTCTTCGTGCCACAAAAACTTCACGTCGTCGGCCTGCCATCCGTGAGATTGGTCCTGGCAGGTGGGAGGGTGGAAAAAAATAAAGATTAAGAAAGGGTTTATGATGCAAATATATAAGAGAGAAAGAATATATAAAAGTGGTTAGGATAATTTAGAAATAGTATATGATTCTTGACGTAAAATTATCTTCTGAAATAAATTTACAAAAGGGTGTGCCATGCAACCGAAAGAAAAGCTTATTTGAGGTACATGATAAAACCTAGGAAATAAATTTGAGAAAAAAATACAGTGTCACCAATGAAAAAATATTTTATACTTTATCAGACTACTCATGTGACGTGAAATTCATAGTGATTATGATCTCTGTCATCAGGAAACTCATCGATGACGATTCTACATGATCAACCCAAGGAAGAGAAGAAAACTTCGTGGAAGGAAGTAAAGTAAATCTGCCCCCTTGCATGCGTGTGCATGTCCTCCCTGCATGCACGGTGATTGTGCATTTGGTTTATCTTATTCAACCTCTCGGCAAATAAAAAGGAAAGGAAGGTGCCCGTGATTTGCTTGGAGAAAACCCGGGAGACGATGTGGGGGGAGAGGGAAACATCGCAGGATGGTAGCCGGTTGCTCACCTTGGTAGCGCGAATTTCATTTAGGGCTTGTTTGGAATACAGGAATGCAAAACAGAGAAAAGAAAAAAAAAATACGAATTTCATTTAAGGTCTGTTTGGAACACAGGAATGCAAAACAGAGAAAATAAAAAAAACACAAAATAGGGTAGAGCAAAAAGTGAAAACTAAAAGATTTCAAAACACATAAATAAATACTTTGAGCTGTTTGGATTGCAGGAATAGGCTTGATCGTCATGTGTGTCCCTAAGCACCGATTATATCGATTGATGCATCTAACACGATATTTAGATGTTTTTAACTAGTCATTTGTATATTACTTTTTAATTCATCTATATGCTGAGTAGGAGTAGTCTCTTTCTCTGTCCGCCTGAACCGTTCTCCAACCAATGACAACCAACACTGCTCTTAATCCACTCGTACAGTGTCACAGGGATTTCTTTATATTATTTTGGGTAGTGAACGTGAGCTGAGATGCTTCATTACGAGCAAGCACGCGTGTCAGTGTCGCAGGAATTTCTTCCATGAGCTCAGACCGCATTTTCTCCTCCTCCAAAAGTACAGGTGCTCTTCCCTTTCCTCTGGAAAGTTTGGCTCCAATTCCCGTATTCCAAACGTGCTTGTACCCGAAGCTGAATCCTCCACTTTTCCATTGTTTCACCTGCGTTCCAAACGGGCCTTAGCTTTTCTTGTAGTGCGAATTTCACTTGGCGCCAAGACTGGGAGGGATGCTTTCATTTAGCTTGTTGATGAAGCCGAACGTCACCAGGTTGAAGAATTTACTCATGACACTATGTTGCATCTCATGGAGATGCCATGATGCCTACTCACCGATTTAGAGAAATAAATAATATTGAGATTATTTACATGGTTTTGACATGCACTTTCAATATATGATGGACAGAAATTTAGTTCAATTTTGTGCCTTTTCATTGGTCAGAAATATTCAAAATTTATAGACTGCGCAATGTTTGCTAACATATTTGGTTGCTCCATTTAGTTTGTAATAATCAAAGTATCCCTACTATTTAATATTTCTACCACGAGCTTGGTTGCTTGATTTAATTTATATAATGATCAAATTATTCAAAGCAATGTTGTTGCTTTTTGCTTCACTATTTTTCACAAATTATTAGTATGGTAAATATCTGTAAAAACCTCGGGTCGTCGGCGTGCCCAACCATGCGACCCCGCGAGTCCAAATGCACGGCGCGCGGCAGGTGGGACCTTCTCCCCACGTCGTCGCGTAATCGGCCACTGTAGGAAACAACCACGTTATCGCGGCTCCTCTTCTGCATGCGATCCTCCTGAAACTGGCCCAGCAATCACGCAACTCCCTTAGCCATATCACACGTCGCTCAACACCTTGAACTAGAGCACCAGCTGGGAACCGTCTTCCTGTGCCCTTAAGCCTGGCCTCATCATTGGTGCCCCCAAGCGCCGCCAACGCTGCCACCACCAATCAACTCCATCCAACTCCCGCCGGGGAAGGGAAGAGAGGCTATCGCTCACTGCCTTCGTTGTTCATGTGTCGGGGAAGGGAAGAGAGGCAATTGCTCGCGGTCGCCAAGCCCCGCTGCCCCCTGCTGCGATCGTGCAACCGCTGGTGGTCACGCATTGGTGCCAATGCACCGTCCCCGTCGCGTTGGCGCTCACAGTCGTGGTCGTCGTCACCGAGTGCCCCAGCGGCTGCCCCACCATAGCCCTTCCACCGCTCGCAGTCACGGCTGTTGTCGCCGAGCACCCTAGTGGCCGTCACACCATCGCCTTTCCATTGTTCGCAGTCTACGGAGATGATGCGTGAACTTGAAGACAGGTGACGTCATCCATGACATATTTTCCTGCATAAAAATAAATGGTGAAATACATTAGTATATGTTTTCCTGTATAAAAATAAATGGTGAAATACATAAATATATGAGGGCGCATGCTAGCACTTTGTTTCAAAAAAAACAGGTGTTCACAAATCATAATCAATAAGTAGATATTCTATCATTAAAACCAAAACCAATCTCGCTCAATCAAGAGATACATAACCAAAATCAATCTCGCTCAATCAAGAAATACGTAGATAGAAACCAAAACCAATCGTGCTCAATCACAAGCTAACATT